AGAGGCTGCACCGTGTGGCTGTACACACAGTGTACACAGAGGCTGCACACACAGCGTACCAGAGGCTGCACACACATAGTGTATACAGAGGCCCCGCTGTAGGAGGCAGTGCTGGTGGAAGAACAGGTGTTGGGAGTTTGCCCAGGACGCAGTGCCATCCTTAGCCTCCACAGCATAAGGCCATGGAAGAGTGAACCAAACATAACATCAGACAGTAGGGCTCTTCCCAAGAAGTTTCCATTTTAAAAGTGTAGATGACAATCTCGGAACTCGGAATTAAAAACCACTGATGCCAGTAAGGTCACCCTTGGGACAGGCAGTAAGAGTTGCTGCAGGGGGGGGGGGACAAAGCAGCAGTGATAAAACCTAAAACAAAAACCTCTTCATTTAGATAGAATTGTTGAACTTGCAGGGACCTGTGCAGGTTTCAGATCTTCCTAGGCTACATCATCGAATATATGTTCATTCAATCAGCGAAAGAAACAGCCTAACGAGGTCTTTCTGTGGTAGACACCTGCATCAAACAATGGCACTGATCTCTGAGGGATTTTTAAACAGCTGTGCATAGACTTCAAAAGTAATTTGCAACCAAATTAGTAAATGTCACCCTTCTTCCCACAAGACACAGCATTTTTTTTTTTTTAAGAGAGGAAGCATCCGCTGTAGGCCTACCATTTTACACATTATCAAAGATAAGTTGGGGGTGTGTGTGTGTGAAGATGGTGATTCACAAGGTTGGGGTGTGCAGTGGGGTGAGGCCCTCAAGGCCCTAGGAATAGGACTTCTCTGGAAACCAGAGGAAAGAGGCAATGGTGGGCCTGGCTTCTTAGGGAGACAAAACAAAGGAAAGGAAAATGTGTGGAGCCAAGCAAGCTCTTGCTTTTTTGACACCCGAGTCCTGAGACTTTAAATTCTCTTTACCCAATGAAAGGGACAAATGGGTAGCAGATGAGAAGGCAAAAACCAGACCCCCTCAATCTCCTCTGGGGTTCATCACACAATTCCAGTCTCGGTTTGCCTTCTCCAAAGGCACCTGCAGCTTGAAGGACTGGGCTTGGGCACAAACGGCCCATTTTTCCACTGACAGCCTGAGAGCCCAGTCTTACTCTCTCCACCCTCCCATCTCCACACACACACAGTTGTGCCACCACTGAATAATCTTTTATTAGCACCACATCCAGCCCACACAGTGGCAGGACAGCCCAGAGAACAGGACAGCCCAGTGACGCTCCCCTTACACAACACACCAGAAGCACCAAGGTTCAGCCAGACATTAGACCTCTCTTCACCACCACAGCGAACCACTGAAATCACCCGTTGCACATCGATAATTCTGGCTCTTCAAACTCCAGGGGAACAAAGGGGTTACGTGCAACAATCTATGTTTTGTTAACAACAAAGCCCTCAAGGCTGGAAAACAACCTCTTTCTCAAAGTTATAGGAATGGCAATCCCAACTTTAAAAAAACAAACAAAAACTTTAAACCCACCCCTGACCCCTGGGGGGGGGAACCCCAAAAACTAAAACAAAACTAATCTAGCGCGTCAACAAATTCTCAGAAAACGAGGTGTTCTCTTTGGATAGGTCACTAGCTCCAGAAAACACTTCTTACAAGAGTAAAGATTTTTCTTTTTTTTTTTTTTCCCGGAGAACACATAAAGTTACTACTGTTTTCCTTTTCCTTGCCTGCCTTTCCTCAGGCGCTAAGTAAAAGCAGTATGAAGAAGGAAGTGCCCCTTCATCCCTGACCCCAGCCTCCACCTGGTCAAGGTCGCCAGTAAGCAAGAAACCATGGACGGGGGAGCCCCAAAGTTTGCTTTTTTCGATTTCGTTCTCACCCCTACTTATCCCGACAACCCTCTGCTCGTTCCTGGAACAGTTGCAAGGGATACCCTAGTGACCCTTCCGGCCCCAGTCCATGGCACCTCCAGTCCGCTTTCTTCTCGGGGGTGACTTGGGGTCCCGGCTCCTACCTGGTGTCGCGGTCGCGGTCCCAGCGCAGCGCCGCCGCTGTTGCTCCGATGGCGGAGGATTGGCGCGGGCTTGGTGACCCGAGGGTGCTCCCGGCGGGCGACACCGGCCAGAGGGCGCTCGCCACGCCGGCTCAGGGACGCGCGCCTGGTTGCGTTCTGCCAGCGCTCTCTGCCTTTCTCCTGCTGGTTCTGTCCCCACCCTCCATCCTCACGCCTCACTGGCCACTTGTCGCTCAGCTGCGACTGGGACCTGGAGGCTGCGGGAGGCCTGGATGGTACAGACCCGGGCGGGGAGCGACGCGGCAGCCGCAGGCAGCACCTAGCAGCTCGGACGCTACAGCCTCAGCCACGGGAGTACCAGGAAGGGGGACGCGAGAGCAGTCTCTTCTCACTGAACTCAAAAACCGTAAATGAGCCGCCAGTGGGAAGGGCCAAGGTCGCTGATAGAAAAAAGTGTTTTTATTTAATCCTTTTTACATCACAAAGGATTGGCAAGCGTTGCTTTTTGTTTTGGTTTGCTTTTTAATTACCCACGGAGCATGTTTGGGCACAGTTTTGCCGTGTGATAGAGGCTTCCTGATTGCCATTACGACTCATTTGTGATTTTGATTTTCTGGACTGCTGTGAGCTTCACAGCTCTCCAGCAGCAATCGTGTCGTTACAATGTACTTTTCTTTTCAGGAGTTTTTTACACCATGTTGCTAATTTTCAAGATGATCATAAAGAGTATTGATAATAAGGGGTGGTGGATTTTCCCCACACTCAATAGAATATTTGTATTGCTGTGGTAGAGGAAGACCAGATTAGTATGAGAAATTAAATAATGATCCGTCCTTCTCCCCACCTTCTCTCTGTTCTTAATTAACAGGCTTCTGATTACTGACGCACAGAACACCATCTTTAAATGACCCTAAGGTACGACAGTTTCAACTTCTAATCTACAAATGAAACAGAGACCTGGAAGAGCTTAGTGACTTTATCAAGTAATACTCGGGGCTGTGTTAAGAAGCCACATATGGCAACTCTTTCCTCTAATAAATATGAACCCGTCATAGCCGATGGACCCTTTTAAAAGGATAAAAAAACGCTTGGTCGAAATTAGCCCGCTTTGCTATTTGTTGATACTCAAGCACTGAATTGTCCCTCAATTCAGTGCTTGACTCAAGTCAGGATCTTAAAATGCAGAGGCTGTGCTTCCAGCCCTGAGGTATAATGGCACAGTCTCATCAGGACATCATCAGAGTCTGGCACATAGTAGGCCTTCATTATATTTTGGCGGTCACATTTGGCAGGAAAGCGTGTTGTGCCTGGGAACAAGGTCACAGAGCGAGAAGAATGGCCCCCACGTCAGCCTGCCTCTGTGTCTGTGACCACTGAGGAGTCCCCTCGTTCAAAGGCCGTTTGCCTGACTTCTCCAGCCGGCCTTCAGTGGAACCTGTTGAGTTGGGGAGAAATGGCAGAGCGGTCGCATAGCTGTGCCTAGAAGACAGAAAACATTCGATTCTCCATGACTATGTTTCTCACTGCACATTTTAGGAGACTAAATACGTGCAGGGCCTCCGGGAAGTTCTTATGCCCTCTTATTAATTTTGAAAACACTTAACTCTGCTAAGGGTTAGACTTGGAGCCTTGCTGATGCCAGGCAAGCACCTACCACTGCGCTACATCCCCAACCTCACACTATAATCAGAGATTAGCTGCTTTTAAAAGGCTACAAAGAGTGATGATGTTGGCAACATAATAAATACATATGATAGGTACTGTGGAGGGCAGATTTAGGTACATTGTTTATTTTTTCTTCATAATCTAAAGGAGTTTCGAACGTCACCACCATCATCTCCCCTTACCACATGAACATAATGTTGTTTTGAAATATTACATAGTATACTCAGAAGTACACAATTTAGAAGGATCAGAATCAGGAAACAAGCCTTGAGAGATCTTTAGCATCCATCTTAAGCACGGCTAAATACTACCTCCATCCTGACAGCACTGATTTTAGTATTTGTCTTCCATATTTCCAGACACCTGGGTTTGGAAGACCTGTGATATTCTAATGTCCTATAACCGTAGAGTTCATCAACAGAAGTTCATGGCCCTGACTGCTGGATCTTCTGAGAGGGCATTCTCTCATATATTTCAGGAAAGGAATGATTTTGTTTTGGTCTTGAAAGTATTTTAAAAACAAGATCATGGAACTGTGTTTTTGGCCTACGTGGGGTGGGAACCTGCAGACTGACCTCTGTAAGCTGCAGGAAGGACCAACTCCCCTTCTCCCCAGGCTGCAGGGATTTTTCTCGTCTCCCTCGATTGAGAACACATGACTGATGCTCAGAATTCTCCACACCTTTGTTTCCTGGAAGAGGAAATGGCATTTCCGGGAGAGGATGGTGTGTGGGTGGCTAGATTCTACCCATGGTGTTAAAAACACCCCGAACTTTCAGTGGCGTATTTCTTTTCCCCTTCAGTGTCTGCCCTAAAGTTTCCCAGAATTGCCGAGTACAGAATGAAGCCAGTTACTTCATTCCGGCAGGGAAAGATGCATTCTGACTCTGGACCCTGAGAGCTAAGGAATGAGCGATTCCGGACTTCTTCCTGGACCTGTTGCAACTTGGCAAAGAAGCCAGGCATCACTTTGCTTTTCTCTTGGACTTAGTTGACGACTGAGGCTCCATCTCTTACGGAAACCACCTCTTGCGCTTTCCGTGGGATTGGCCTTTCCTAAGGGACTCAGGATAGAGAGCACAAAAAACATGTCCTAGTTTGAGCCTCAGTTTGGAGAACAATGGTATTTCGGAGAAGTAGGATGTGGCAAACGCAGACAACTTGAGGACAGTGTCGCGAGACAAGAACATTTCTCCCTACAGAAAACCACTGTGTGGAGAACATCAATCCGGATGATTTTTTGAAGACTTTGGCACCCAGACATCCTCTTTTCAGAGCCTAGCAGAGACTTTGCAAAGCTGCCTACCTTAGTCTCCTGAAGGACTTAGAGGACGATGAACTACTTTAACCAAAGGCTCAAGTAACACGTAAATTTATTCAGAGTGTGTGAAAGTTATGGATAGGTAAAAGTGACAGAGGGATGAGTGAAATTGGGCATTTTTGTTGGGAGTAACTGAACTCCAGTTCCTGGGGTTTATTTGTTTGCTGAATTTTGTTTGGTTCTTTGAGCAGGGTGTAATGAGGCCCTGACTGGCCTCAGACTCATTACATAGCTGAGGAGAACCTTGAACCTCTGATCCTCCTGACTACAAATTCCCAAGTGCTGAGTCTACAAGCGTGCATCTCCAGTTGCTGGTGATGATGAGGCTGCTGTCAGCTTTGCAGACTGATTTGGAACAGTGAAAGATGAAGCCAATTCAATCTATGATAATAATAAAAAAGTGGCTATATTTTTTTAAAGTTTCATTATTTGGATATTTATTCATTCTACATGCTTAGTGATGTTAAAGGACTTTATAATCATGGGCAAGGTAAGGCATGTGGGTATTATTTCTTCATTTAAGAAGAAGATGGTGGTGATGAGGAACTGTTAGCTGATGCTGACCGTGCCTTTCTTACATGTGTCAGGGTATGGGGTCTTGTATAAAGCCCCTGACATGTGTAAAGTCCTCTTTATTTTATGGATAATATAGTGCATCCATGAAGTCTAAACAAATAATTTTCTAAATTCATATAACCAATAATTTATAAGATAGATCTGGTCTACTTGATCCTTAAACTCATGATAAACTTTCCATCATACCACAGAAATCAGATAAGTATTAAGATTACATCCTGGGTCAAATCAGTAAAAGAACCATGCTTCAATGAATTCATGTTCCAATGAATAGGACACTGTGAAAGCAAAAGAATTCACTTATACATAGATGGAATTATCGTGTATAATTCTCTCAGTTAATGAAGCCCTAAAGAAAGAAACAGTACCATTGTCAATAGGGCAGAATGTCTAGAGGGGGTTCCTTTTTCCCTCAACATCAGTTAGCATATTACAAAAGAGATTGAAACTGAACACCAGAAAGGGTTTTGTTTTGTTTTTAAATGGAGGAATTATAAAACCATGATCCTGGCATTTCATGTTAGTTGTAACATGAATGAGTTAGAGAGTCGGGATACTGATGTAGCCAACCACACTGGCCTTATTCTATGCTGTGGGTCAGTGGGAGATGCTCTGTTCCTGATCACAGCTTGGTCCCCATCCTCAAAATGTTCCAGTTTGTGCCCCAGTTGGCAAACCGCATAACTGGTTATTGTTTCAACTTGAATTCACACATACAATTATTTTATTTTCTTGCTTTTGTCCCCTGCCTGTCACTATACGTAGACTGCAGACGGAAGAAGGAATGTTCTTTGTCAACCGATGTTAATGTCATCCAAAGAGGAAAGGTGTTATCTCCATTCTACTTGTTACAAAAAAGAGTAAGCCAGCCAAGCATGATGGCACATGCTCTTCATCCCAGCACTTGGGAGGCAGAGGCAGGTGGATCTCTGTGAAACTGAGGTCAGACTGGTCTGTACAGTGCATTTCAGGGCAGCTGGGACTCTCAAAAGCATGGTGATGATAATTCGAAAGCCAATTCTGGATTTCCCAGCACACAAAACACACTGTGACAATAGAGGGAAAATGTGAAATGTGTAAGCAATCATACAGCAGCTCACATTTGTACATTTATGCAACCTTAAAAACAATGGAAAGCAGATGAACTGTCCTTTTATATCTCACAATAGCTCAGGCAGGTCTGATGCTTGAAGATCAAAGATATCTAAACCAGAAGAGAAGCTTATTTTTCTAGATAGAACTCAAATGCCACATATTAATGCACAAATTCCCCCTTTCACAGGATTGCTTTAAAGTCAGGGAAGGCGGGATATAAATATTGCACCAGAATTTCAGAAGGCTGATGGAGCAGCCAAAAATCTCGAAAGCTGTAGATCACAACTCTCCTAATGTTGCGACCCTTTTACACAGTTCCTCATGTTGTAGTGGCCACAACCATAAAATGATTTTCATTGCTACTTCATCACTGTAATCACACTACTGTTAGGAATCACAATAGACATAACTGTTTTCCGACGGTCTTAGGTGACCCCTGTGAAAGGTTTGTTCAGTCACCCAAAGGGATCTCAACCCACAGGTTGAGAACTGATGATTTAACTGCTCCAGCCCCATAGCTGTAACTTGTTTTAAGCAGTTGCCACTGCAGGGAAAAGAAAACTGGTTCAAGTGTCGCCAATGAGAAGAAAGGATTTGGTTCTAGACCAGAGCAGGCAAGACTAACCCACCAGGTGAAGTAAGTTTGGAGATGGCAAATTTGGAAGGGCTATGAAGATGGGGATCAAGCCTTATGATAAAAAAGTTTCTCTCAAACAGAAGTCAGGTTTCTTGAGAATCTTTGCATCATGTGACATGTCCTGACCAGCGGCTTAAACATTCTTAAAATTCTTCCTCGCAAAGGGGCTGCTGGGTAAACTGAGTAAGGTGCACCTAGCCAGGATCCCTGTAGCTGTGCTGCCAAGCTTACACTACCTCCTGACCCCAGGAACAGTCAGAACCTGAGCCAAAAACAAAGACACACGCACACGCACATGCACACGCACACGCACGCACGCACACACGCACGCACACACGTGCTGAACTGAGGCAAAACCTGAACTAAAAGTCAACCAATAAACCAACCAACCAACCAAAACATACACACACAATGAACTGAAGCTAGTCTTGAGTTTTTGACCTTTTGCATGCTCTGTAGAGTAGCAACATATTAATAGAATTTTAAGAAAATTATTATGTATTTGTTTCCACAAACCTCTCTGCCATCATTCCCTTTCACAAAAACACACTTCCTTTCTTCCTTGTCATTGCGTTTGGACAGAATGCAGGGCTCTTCCATGGTTCTACACCTCAATTATCCCACGTATTTCTGCGGTATGAGAGAAAATTCCAGAAATTTCATGCTCTACTTTCAGCCCCCAAGGCATGGTGGGTGTATTCTGCATACTATGTGGACATGTGGAGAATGTGGAATTCTCATGCAAATTAGCGAAACTTCCAAAAAGGTTTTCACATTATCCACTTACACAGGAACGTGAGATTAGCTAGTGACCCAGGCATGTTGTGGGTACACAAAGCATGGAAGCGTGTCCACATGCATTGTAAGGCTTGTGTGGCATGTTCAGTACAGCACCGTTCAGAATCACCCTCAACTGGCAGCAATACAAGTCTATCATAAAACTGTGGGATGTTGGTGAGCTACAGCTGTACCAGCTGACCTTAATGGAGAACCTCTGTAGGCCTCAGCCTGGAAAAAGCCTGCAAACATTAATGAAAGGCAAGGCCAATAAGGATGCAATCTGTGTGGGTTCATTGATTCAAACTTCAAAAAGAAGTTGGGAAAAAAAAAACACACTGTGAGGTCAGAACTGCAGTTTTTACAATTGAGGAGATGTGAGGTGGAGGACAGGAGAGAAACGGCACGCTTATGGTGACTTTTTTCGTACTTGTCACAGAGGATGGTCACTTCATAAAAGTTCATCTAGGTGTCTGTGATTTATGGACTTTTCTGTGTGTGTCTATTCAATAAACAGACTTGCTAGAGGCTGCAGCAATGGCTCAGTGGGTGAATCGCTTGCCGCGTAAGTATGAAGCCTTAGCACGCGAGTAGGAAATTGTATGTGGTCCCGTGCATTTGTAATCCCAACCTTGAGAGGAGAGGGAGGGTGTTTTGATGGAAACAGAAGCATTCCAGGAGTTCACTGGCCAGGCAATCAAGCCCATAGGGGACCTCTAGGTTCGGTGAAAACACCCTGTCACAAAAACAGTGATGAAGGACCACAGAAGGTACCACCTGCTATTGTACCTTTGGCCTCCACATACACTTATACATATGTGTACATTCTCCCACATATATAAAGAAGTACAAATGCATGCACCACACACACACACACACACACACACACACAGAGAGAGAGAGAGAGAGAGAGAAACATGTGTTTTCCTTCTATCTTTTTCTTATAATAAAGATGCAACATTGTCCAATACCAAAGAAAGTTCAGGATATTTTGAATTCCACATTAAAGTCAGTGGACAAATGCCTGAAAGAATAAGAAGCAAAGCAAAGCAAAGCAAAACAGGACGAGAACTTATTCCAGCTTGAGCAAAAGGTTTCTAATGTCAACCTCTAACTGGAGCAAATCACATAAAATGCTCAAAGGGCAAATGGGCTCAGTGGTCGCCCAGTGTCATCATTTGGTCCTTTCTGTGGCTATGACACAAAGAGCAAAGCAGAAAAGACCTTTCAGAAAATTTTAATAATGAGCTGGGTAGAGAGGCTTTAGGAAAACAAGTCCTAGAGATCAATAAAGTTACTTTAAAGAAGAATCAGATGACTAGGATTTGCCAGTTTGTGTCTAAAATCCTTCAGTTGCTCTTTTTGTAAAAATTTCTTTTTGTAAAATGTACTTTTATTAACTTTGTCATTTTCATACACGTGTACAATGAATTTTGACCATATCTATCCTAAATTTTCCCTGTAACTCTTCTGGGATCTGCCTCATCCCAGCTCGCCCACAACTTCATGTCTGTTTTGTTTTGTTTTTAATTATAACCCGATGAGTCTAATTAGTACTGCCCATACAGGCATGGAACAGGACTGCCTACTGCAGCGTGCAGGGCTGCCAGAAGCCACACCCCTAAAGAAGACTGGCATCCCCAACAGCTATCATTTGTTAATAGCTTTGCAGCTAGGGTGAGGTACCGTGCCCCGATGCCACGATGCTCCATGCGGGATGGCCACTGGTTTGATCACGTTTCTTTTCAGAAGGAGTTGAAAGTGTTGCAAAGCTACATAGGGTTTTGTTCCCTCAGCACAGTATAAATAACTTTTGCTTTTAGTCTTATTTTGTTTTCTATTTTTTTTTTTCATCAAGAACGATTTCATCAGCGGTTACCTTTGTGACCAATGAGTGCCACCTATCTGGTAAGACGGGCCTTTGGGGATAGAGGATAGTCTACTCAGACAAAACTGAATTTCTCAAACTGCCAACTACAGGATCTGTTACTACAATAAAGATCTTCCAAGAAGCAGGACTTGGGAAAAGGTTCCATCAATATAGTGCTAGTCATACAAATGTGAGTACCTGAATTTGGTCCATAGCATCCCCCTGAAAAAGCCAAGCACGGTGCCATTCCCTTGTAATCCCAGTAGGAGCATCTCTGGGGCTCACATTGACTAGTCTGATCAGCAGAATGGTGAGCCCTAGATCCCAGTGAGGGCTGAGTCTCAAAACACAAGGGAGATAGCCTCTGAGAAATGATACTGCTGATCATACTTTGGCCTCAACACACATGTACACTTTTGAACATGCACACCCACACGTATACAAATATACGATACATACTTGAATAGACACACGTGTATCCTCCATCCCACACACAAAATGAATCTTTGTGTAGCAGCCACCCAAGATGTTTCACTGTATGGTCAGATCTCACTCCATCACCTGGCTGCACCTTCAGGCTCTCTTGCTTCCACGTGTGAATTCTGAGATGCACATGCTTTACCATAGTGAACTGGTTCATACCTCACTGAACACCAGGGTGCTGAGAAAACATGTGGGGTCGCTAAGGACGGCAGCGACATGGAAGGAATTTCCAGGTTGTGCGTTTAGAGAAAGGCAAACAGAACTTGTTTAGTTGCTCATCTCCGAAGAGCCACCGCTACCTCCTTCTTCGCCACCCAGGACCCTGCATCTGTACAAAGAAATGTCTCCAGCCACAAGCGTCTGCTGTGCGGAGGAGAGGCACACAGAGTGGTGTAACTTTTGGCTGTTTCCATTGCCAGCCCCCTGGGTGAGAATTGATTGAAGCAAAACAGACAGATGTTCCTAAGTCAATCTCACCTTCTCTCCTGGCTCTTTCGTTGCTCTGTGCTCTACAAGAGCAGAACGGGTGACTGGAGGTAGGGTGCAGCTGGTAGAGTGCTTTCCGTGCATGCAGGAGGATCTAAGTTTGGGTCTCTAGCACCCAAGTCTGACATGGTGGCGCCCGTCGGTAATGAGGCAAAATGAGGAGAATCCTTGGGTATTTTGACCAGCCGACCTAGACAAGTAAGTGTTTTTCCAGGATCAGTAAGAAAATCTGTCTCAGAATATAAAAATAACTAAAGCGAAGAATGATCAGGAGTCTCAGTGTATGACCTTTGGTCTCTGTATGTACACAAATGCACGTGTGCCAGCAAGCACAGGTACACACACACACACACACACACACACACACACACGCAGAGAGAGAGAGAGAGAGAGAGAGAGAGAGAGAGAGAGAGAGAGAGATCCTCCAAATCTCAAACAATGGAACACCACCATATATTTGTGCTTTTTTTCCACACAGGACAATGAAATGTGACTTGCGTTCTGCTGAGACTGACTGGATAAAAGCGCCATCTTCCCCAGGTCACCCTTACAGCAGCAGAAAGGAAGGTGTTTCCACTTGCTGTGACAGGGACCTGGGTAGCTGACAGTCTTCCATTTCATTCTTTGCTTTCATCTGTTCACTGAAATGCATGTGGTTTTCAGACACAGGAAAGAAAACATGCCCGCCTGTGGTTGAACTTTCCACTAGAGAATAGACAAACGGCAGCTCAGCACCAGTGCTGGTGGGGAGGGCCTTTCTGCTTAAACACAAGAACCCGCCTGAGAAAAATCCCTCTCCAGAAGAATGCTGTGGATGGCTGCAGTTCTCAGAAGATTTTGGGAACGAGGTCACATGGCATCGGGTCCTATGATGGAAGATACTTGTGACTGGAGAATGGGTGTGGCTTCAAGGTCCTTTCTGCGTTTTTTTTCTCTTCTAATTTGAATTTTGGGGAATCAGAGAATGGCATCTTTCTTGCCGATATTCCCCGTTTCCCATCTCCTCTAAATATATTACCAGCTCCCACCGGAAGCGAATTGGCCCATGAAAATGTCTCTTCCTCTGGTAGCGCCTGACCTTTAGAGCTGCTTTCAATTCCCGTTCGGGGGTTGTTCCTCCGGGTCTGACCTGTGGAGTTCATTTTACAGGTGAAGTGAATTGTTCACTAAATATTTACAGTCTGTCAGCTGAATTGAAAGTGTGACAAGTTGGAATTTTATAGTCAACCAGAATTCAGGCATGGATGAACGAGAAATATCATTTAAGTTTTCGGCTTGAAATGTAATTATCAAATCACTCATGACACGGAGAGGGTTTTGTAGAAATTCTCTTTGTAAGTTAACTTTGGAAATATTTTTCACAGATAGTTGGTGTGTCTAACAGTACAGGGGTAAACAGCCTTGGCTAAGTCTCATGTGATTTTCCAAGAGGTCATCTGCCTGGCCTGCAAGAGAAGAATGGGCCAATAGCATCGTAAACACACGGTGACTTGATTCTTTTCCTTCCACTGCCTTGTCATCCACAGTAAGGTAAGATCATAGGGAGGGAAGCTCTGTAGGGTTTGGAGAGGCATTGCTGCCAGTGATGTACATATGGGAGTTCAGCACAGAGAGCTTTGCCTCCAGGGTATAGAGGAAGCTGGCGTGAGCCTGTCTGCCTCTTACTCTCTTATCTAGGCAGGCGAATTCTCTTCAGCATGGGTGTGATAAACACACGTGCACAGTTGGGGTCTGTAAAAACGCATTTCTACCAGCATTGGGTGGTATGGGAGCAATCTCCTGACTCTTTCCCATTGAAGTCGGCCCTCAGGATAACAGCCAGAGCAACCCCTGCAAATGTCTATTCGGGTCACGACAGCTCCGCTCTCCCTAGGCGACCTGCCCTAGCACCCACTCCCCAGATCTGTTTGAAAGACTCACCTTCCTCGCTCTGCTTGAGTCTCATGAGCCACCTTACTCCTTAGCGTGCCTAACAAATCATAGCCTAAGACATTTATTGAAGGCATCCGTCTGGTCCTGCCTTCCTCAATTTCTCAGTGACCACTTTACTACTATTTCGGGACACAAGCTGCTATCTCAAAAGCCTGATTGATTCAAATCACTAGGAATTGAATCCAGGGCTCTGGGCACGGTAGACAAACACCCAGCCACTGAACTATATCGCAAGAAACGTCGTACAATCCCAATACTACTTTAAAAAAATATGACGACTTACTAGTTACCTAAAAATTGCAAGATTATTTTAGCATTAGCAATCAATCCATGCCAGGCAGTAGCATAACTGGGAGAAAAAAAAATTTACTCATTTCAAGAGACACAAAGTATCAGGGCATTAATCTTGACAAAAAAAATATAGAAAGGTACTTCCTTAAACTTAATAATTATATCTAGAGAAACCGAGAGACATCCTTCTTAATGAAGAAGTGTTGAAACAATCACTAGTGGCATCGGGAACATGGTGAAAACACTTTTAATATAAGCTGTCAACTTTCTACTGGAATTCTTTAGCCAGTAAGCAGGGCAGGGGAATCAATAAACAGATAAGGAATGGTTAGGCCAGTATAATCTGGCCTGACTTGTGGATGAGACATATGCATTTATAGACTTAAAACAACCTGCAAATATAAGACCAGAAGTTTCGGAAGGTATTTTTTAGATCAAAATCAACATAAAAATCAATAATGTTAATACAATGTCAATACTACTATTGTCACTAAAAGGTTATAATGATATTAGAACAATTATTAGATGATGCTGTAGTTGGAATAGAGACTGGCAAATTCTTTTTAAAATAGTGTTTAACTTTCTTTTTTATTTATTCTTTGTGTCTTTCACATCATGCATCTCTATCACATTCATTTCTAGTCCCTGCATATCTGCCCTCTGCCCTTGTAACCTCCCTGCCCCCCAAAAGGAAAAAAAAGAAAAGAAAATTTAATGGAAAAAAATGAAAAAAAGGGAAAAATCTCACCATGGAAGTTTTAATGTGATACAGTGATTCATGCAGTAAACTCTTTTATCCATATATCTTTATTTGCAAGTGTTCATTGCAAAAAGTTTTTGATCTGATCCGAGGCCTCTGGTTTCTGCTATACTATCAATGCTGGGTCCTCACTAGGACTCTCTTGGATATCCTGTTGTGGCCCTGAGTCATGGAGACTCTCCAGCTTTGGATCTGTAGGACCCGCCCCTTCACGTGCTCCAGCAGATCATAGAAGAGGTGGGTGTTGGAGCGGGCCAACTCTTAACTCTGGTTCTGGGCCTGGGTAGTGGCAGGAGTGGTGAGTCTGCTAGCTCTCCCTGTCTTCACTAACAGGGTAAGCTCTGCAGCAAGGATGAGCGAGGGGTGGGTCTAGTTTCCCTGCTTTCACGTCCCCAGCGTCAGCTCTCCCACACTTCCACCTTCAGGGCCAGCTCTACTGTGCTGTCAGGCGAGGTCCATGAACCCCTCTCCCGAGTGCTGCAGCTGGTAATGGGCAGGAGCAGCGCTCCAGCTCTTAGGACCTCAGGTGAGGAGCGGTAGGGGGCATCTCTCCCCAACCCATGCCCCCGTAAGGCGGATGAAGGGTGGGGCAGAGCCTGGCACATTCTAACCAGTCTTCTGCTCCTTCTAGGTGTATAGTTGGACACGAACTGCAAAGGCATTAGGTTAGGTTTAGCCATATGTCTAAGCAAACAGAAGGAATCGGTACCAGGAGTTCAATTCAAAGCACAAGTTTGAACAAATCATGTAGGGGCTGGGCTTAGGGAGAAAATTCAGTTGGTAGAGTACTCATCTTAGAGCATAGGGACCTGAGTTTGAGCCCCAGAGCCCACATGAAAATGTTTGAAATCCTAGTGTTTGGGAGGTAAAGACAGGAGACCCTTGGGGCTTCCTGGCCAGCCTGCCTAGTATAATTGACAAACTTCAGACCAGTGAGAGACCCTGTCTCAAAATGAATGAATGAATGAATAAATAAATAAATAAATAAATTGTTCAGCATGTGATTGGTGGGGGAGGGCCCAGCTCATTGTAGGTGGTGCCATCCCTGTACTGGTGGGTCTGGGTTCTATAAGAAAGCAGGCTGAACAGGCCGTGGGGAGCAAGCGAGTGAGCAGCGCTCCTCTGCGGCCTCTACATCAGCTCTTGACTCCAGATTTCTGCTCTGTCCTGACTTCCTTGGATGATGAAGAGATATGAAAGAAATATCTGCTGAGGACTGAGATTTACAGCTGGCTTCTGGCCTCCGCATAGACACACAAATGTTCATGTGCGTCTGTATACACACACACACACACACACACACACACACCACGTAGGTTTACACGCCACATAGGTTCTTTTCTCCTTGACAGTGAAATTGGTGAGTTCCAGAAGAGGAGGGTTGTTGTTTCTTCCCAGGCTGCTTTCTGAAATTAAGACAGTACTTTTTGTGAGATATCTGATTACACTGTATAGAGATATGTCACTGTAATTGGTTTAATGAAAAGTTAAATGACCAATAGCTAGGCAGGATTTGAGGGGCAGAGAGGATGCTGGAAAGAATAAGGTGGAGTCACAAACTAGAGAGGGAGGAAGCAGGAAAGCAGCATGGGCAGAGTAAAGGTAATAAAGCCATGAGGCAGAAAGTAAATTAATAGAAATGGGTTAAGTTATGAGCTAGCTAGGGAAAAGCCTAAATTATTGGTCGAGCTTTCATAGTTAATAAGAAGTCTTCGTGTGGTTATTTGTGTGCTGACTGGTAAGACAGAAAAGCCCGTTTACTAGTTTGGTTTTAAGATCCACCCAAGGTTTGAGCTGCTGAGATTTTGGAAATACTGTTTCCCAGTGTTTTAGTTGGGGTTTCTATTGCTGCAATGAAACATCTTGACCAAAAAGGAAGCTTGGGAGGAAAGGGTTTATTTGGCTTACACTTCCATATCTCTTATCGTCATCTAAGGAAGTCAGGATATGAACTTACCCAGGCCAGGAGCCTGGAGTCAACAGCTCATGTAGAGGCCATGGAGAGGTGCTCAGCCTGCTTTCTTAAAGTACCCAGGACCACCAGTTCAGGGATGGTACCACCTACAATGAGCTGGGCCTTCCCTCACCAACCCCTAATTAAGAAAATGCCTTATAGCCCAATCTTATGGAGGCATTTTCTTAACGGGGGCTCCCTCCTCCCAGATGACTTTTGTTTGTGTCAAGTTGGCATGGCACTATCTAGCACATCAAAGTCTGACTCTCTAACATATCTTGTCACCTGGCTCCCAGGGTGCTAAGCATGCTGGGTTTCCTCTGCTTTGCTCTGGCCACTGTTTGTCTTTTCAGTTTTGACCCTAGAATGGTGTAGTCCTCGAGATGACTCATTGTCTTCTAGATTCACCGCTCTTTGCCGTTCATCCTTAGTCTCCGGGGCTCATTGCTCTTCCCTGTGCATTTGCTGTACCTTCTGCAGCCCTCACTCCTCCAGCAGGATCAAATGTCCTTTGTTCTCTCCTTATTCTACTTGTGCGCTTTTGACTGAAATGACCAATACTTCAAAAACTACAATCTGTACTTCCACGCCTTTGTTTGGCCGAGGCCCTTTCATCTCTCAGGAAGGCTCTTTCTCTCTCTGTTCTTCAAAAGCGTTCTCCATGCTTTAGTATCCAGGTAAAGGGAAGGGAAGTGCATGAGCAAAATGGCTGATTTCTTATATTTGTTTTTATTTCCTTATTCATCTTTTAGCAAAAATATTTTAAAATATATTCTTTGATCTTTTGTGGATATGTTCATTGCCCTCCCCCCAACTACTCCTAGATCTCTCTTCCTCCCAACTTCATGTCCTTCTTATTTTCTGCACTTTTCTTTTCATAACCCATTGAACCTCGTTAATGCTGTCAATACATGTACATGATTATGGGACCATCCACGGGAGCATGGTTGACCTACCTAGGGCCACACCCCAACAGAAAGTTCACTCTCTTCCTCACCAGCCACCGACTGTTGCTTGCTCCTCAGCTAGGAGGTGGAGCTTATGAATCTTTCCCCTTCCCTATTTGCCCCTTCCATGCTAGAGTACTAACTGGCTTTATCTTGACAAGAATGCAGCCATCACTGACAATAGCAGTTCCACCTTGCCCTTTCTACCATGATGGACCAAACACATCTGAAACTGTGAGCCAAACTAAAACCTGTAAGCATTCAGTGCTTTCATCACGTATTCCGTCACAAAGGTACAGAAGCAAGTAATAAATTACTTAAGCAAAGAAGTTGGTTTGAGGCAGAAAGATGAATCATTAACTTGGACACAATCCAATTTGTTTTTCTCATTAGGCCCTGAACACTATTCATAGGATGACTAAGGACTCAGAAAACAAAATATCAGTTTTATATACAAAATATATTACTTTTGGACAAGAAGAAATCATCCATACACATAACACACACACACACACACACACACACACACACACACACACCACACCATACACCACACATACATATATACATAAACATATGTCAGCTGTGTTCTAACCAAGGTACTCATTTGTGGCTTTTCCCACCATATTTTTATGATTCTTATAGGAAGTCATAACACCTAGCTCTATGACATGGGTATAATTAGTTCTCAGTAATTAGTGGTACATTTTACATATAAGCCAAGATTTTGTGAATTCAGAATAATGATTACAAAAAAAGCATATATTCTAAATTAGAGGACTTAGCAATTTATCTTAGGATTTTCCTAATCCATCTAGAGAACTGGTATATCTCTTCCTCCGCCTTTCTCTTCCTCTTCTTCTGCTCCTGTTTCTTGTCCTTCATTACCTCCTCTTAATTTTTCAATTGAAAACTCAAACTTATAATTAGCTAAAAAGTATTAGACTCTTTCTATTTTGTAACTGCAGTAGGACTTTTAACACTTACACGGCTGTCTTAACTTTATTTCTCTGTCCTCACTCCAGCTTCAGCTTTATTCACTCAATAAATAATTATTCGACCCATATTGTGAGACTCTTGCATGCACTCATGCCCTTGATCTTAGCTTACTCTTAAGAGGAAGAGCAAATGGTGTACCCACCAGCTTGGGTTGCTGCAACCAAGTACAAGAGGCTGAGTACTTTAAACAACAGAGACAGATTTTCTCCATCAGGGAGGCCAAACTCTTTCACAATCTGTGCATCTGCAGTGGTGGTTCCTTCTGAAGAGTTCTTCTTGGTTTGTGGATGGCTGTCTTCTTTCTATGTCTACATACTGTCTTCTCTCAAGGTACTGTTCCTAATCTTTTAATAAGAATGTTTACTATGCAAGCATGAGGACATGAATTTGAATCCTCAGCACTCATAAAACACAGGCATGCCTACATGTTCCTGCAACCAATGCAGTGGATGTCCAGAGACAGGAGGATTGCTGAGACTTACAGGCTGCCTACATCTGGATTCAGTGAGTGACCCCGACTCAAGGGGAACATGATAGAGCAGGATACCTGAAAACCTTCTCTGGCTTCCAGGCAGGCACAGGTAGATGTATGTGTATATACCACTTACATACACAAACACACTAAATTATAAAAGACTCCAACATATGAAGTTGTGGGGGTTGGGGCAGGAGAGACACAATTTAACTCGTAACAAAAGGTCAGTGATTACCTGTATACTGTTAAGTTCCTTGAAAGAGGCACAGTGGATGCCTAGAAAAACATTCCAAGGGAAGGAAGGAGCAAGCAAGACCTGGAAGGCTGAGTAGACTTTCTCCCAGGGGAGAGATACAAGCGAGCCATTTGAAGGAGAAATAACAGCAGGCGCAAAGGCAAAGAGCCGAGACAGTTCCTAATGTGTGTGGAAAGTGTGGGGGCCATTGCTTCGAGTGGAGAAGCAGATGGGATGTGGGAGACATGGGGGTACAGTAGCAGTCATGGTAGTCAGCTGTGTATGCATTGCAAGAAAGCACGAACCCCGGGGAGACTGCCTGAATAACACTAGTGTGCTACCCGTGTAGCCTGTTCCACCAGCAAGGGCTCTCTCTGGAGTCGTTTGCTTTGTTTATTTGTTTGCTAAATTGCCATCTATTCCTGCTGATGGGTTTGCGGAGGGATTCACACATGCTGCTGGTATTTCCAACCCGGCCATCTTGGGTTTGAACAGTGACTGGTTTTTGCTTTTTATGAGGATAATACTTACTTACAGCAACCTTTGAAGGAGACATTGTAAGGTCAAAATATTTTTGTTGGCTGCCTCCTGCTATGGTTAGAAAGCATACCTCACTACTTGACCTTCTAACTGATGGAGACATGTTGACTCTGGGGAAATATGGTAGATTTTCCTCTTTACACAACAATAACAGTTGAAGGTAGAGCGGTTCCATTTCTGTGTGTTCGTTTCTTTTGTTGTTATTCTTATCAGTATAAAAAGTGGCATCTGGTAATGTCACTCTTAAATATTTTCTTAACCTGTCTCAAAGGTTTTATTCAATAGAAGCAGCACCATGGCACAATGAAGGTCAACTTGTTATTGGATGTTACAAATTTGCTAACTTATGAAATTTGTATCTGTAATTTTTTTTTCTGCCTACAAAATCTACTTCGGGTTTAAAATAGTTTTAAAGGTTTGTTTTAATTTTAATTGTGTGTGTGTGTGTGTGTGTGTGTGTGTGTGTGTGTATGTGAATATGAGGGTACAAGAACCCACAGAGGCCAGAAGAGAGCAATAGATACACTGGAGCAATAGAGTACCGGTAGCTGTCAGATCTTGATATCGGTGCTGGTAATCAAACTCACGTGCAGTACACCTTCTTTTTGAGTCAGGGTCTCTCAATGGTCTGGAACTCTTGAAGTAGGTTAGCATGCCCCAGGCATCTACTTGTCTCTGCCTCCTCGGTGCTTTTTTTAAAATGTGGATTCTGGGTATTTAACTCAGGTTCACTCATTTTCAAGCACTTTACCAACTGAGCTCCTCAGGTCCT